CAGGGTGAGAAAGGCAATGATGATGCCTTTATCAAGACACGTTGGACCACGCTGAGACTCAAAACCTCGAATCCACAATCTCACAATTACAGGTCTGGTAGCCTGACCACTAGGCTGCCGACGCCACCTAAGGGTACATAATGAAACATATGTCACGGCGTGGTGGAATCGGGAGCTTGTCAATTTTTGGGCATATAGGGTTATATAAGTTTTGGTATCTTAAAGCCTGTTCATTTGCCTTCCTTTTGGTGAAAAAAATATTCACAAAATAATATGTTGAATAGAAGTAAAAATATTTGCATTTGAAGGAGGTCCAGGTCTCCTGGTTTCAGAGGTAAAATTAGTGAGAAAATGGCCGCCAAAGTTTGGTAACTTTCTTCATAGTCTGTGAGTCCTTGGAAACTGAAAATTTTACTTTTTTTGTGCCTTTAATCAACATTTTTCAGTAAAATCCACACAAAGTGTGTTTTTAAGTGGACATAAAAGGTGTTGAGCCGGAAAAAAGAAAATTTTTTAAAAATTGGTCATCGGCCAAAAAAAATGCTGATTTCTTTGATTTCATTATTTTGACGAGCGCCTGATTTCTTCTCGATGCCTATAAAAGTTCAGTCACTGGAAACATGCAAACTTGTGTGTGTGTTAGTTTCACATTAATTTCAGAAAAGTTTCTTGCAAAAAGTGAAACAAAAACAGGGAATTTCATGAGGGCATCCAGATTGGCCCTGTCAGTCTAGCGGCAAACCTGAGGGTATTTATATCTTGTTCACTTTCGTCTGACCGCGGTCGGTTCAAACTAGGTAAACTGAAATTGCTTTGTTTAGTCTTTTCAGATCTTTACATGCAGGTCTAGAAGTTGGATGACCAACAGAATCTAAAAGCCCATTGATAAACATCACTGCAAACTAAGGTTCCGACACATTTTCTTTCATGTTATCCTAAGGCTGGTTAAAAAATAATAGGGGGTGTAACGTGCAGCATACACCTGAAACAAAAAAGTTGACTTATTTTCCTCAACACAACACTTAAAGCTCACCTTAGAAATACGGTGAGTAATTTTCAAGACTCACATGTTGACGTCTTGACAGTGGGGGGAAGAAATCTACTAGTTTACTTTGAAATGCGGGGCCAGGGGGGTGTCGCTTTCTGAAATTGAGCTATTTGTAGGCAAGGTTACTGTAAATTATTTATATTAATGATCCTGTGTATACATCCAAAACAGGGCCCAAAGAGTAAAACTTTTTTATTACTGGATCAAGATTTTTTAAAGAAGAAGTTTTTGTTTAGTCTCTGACCTGCAGCAGTGCCAACGTTTTGTGAGCTCAGCTAAATTCATAAACGAGCAAGAATTTGTTTATGCAGATGTACGAAAATGTCCAAGCTGTAATTTGACTGAGCTAGGGTTAATAAGAACTTCAATATATGACAACCAGAGTTGTAATGAAACAACTTAACTATAAAATGAATTTGTCAATTCTTGTTCTTGGCTGAATGAACAAAGTATACAGTTGAACCTGCTCCAGCGGCCACTTGTATACACATGTAAGACAGTCACATGTAGAAACATCCATTTCCCGCCCGTGTCCTCCTTAGCATTTTTTTTTACATAATACATGTAATGACACCGAGTAAGATTGACACCTGTTCAAAATAACCACTTTTCTCCTCAACAATGGGTGGCTGTCTTAGTTTCGGCGGTAATTAAAGGTACACTAAATTCAAACTTGGGCGCAAAGAAAAAATGAAGAAATTCCTCACTACTTTTAAGATCACAAGACAGAGTGAGACTGTGAGACACTGGTTAAGTGGAAATACCTCGCCAAGGCCCTGAATTTTTGCCTGGTCTGCAATGAGATCCACCCACGGTTAAGTTAAGGACTAAAAACAAAACAAGATCAACTTCTGTAAAGATTTTTATTCAGCTGAATAATATAGTATATATTTGAACATATTATTGTAAATATATGCTTCTCTTGACAAAGCCTTTGATACATATCATACCATGAAAGCCCTATCACAAGAGGTAAATCCATTTCAAAGTTAGTGCAAGCCAAATTATGACTCTTTTTCAACACTTCAGTTTTGTTTAGTTTTTGGAATGTATTCCTCAACATAACATGCATTATAATGTAACAAGGAACATTCACTTCTATGAACCCTCATCAAGAAAGTATGGCATCAAATGTAATGACCATGGTTGTCCAGTCTAAGAATCACAAGATAATAATATAATAATGTAACAGTTTCAAGGGTTCCTTAGAAAAGCAAGATATCATAGCTGAAAAATACAGTCAATCTTTTGTCTCTAGAAAAGCATTATTATTAACTATGTTAAAAGAGTTGAGAGGGCACTCCTTTAGCTCAGTTGGTATCTTGCTAGACTAAAGAGCGGATGACCCCGGTTCGATCCAGACTAGCATTCATAAACGCGGGTCTAATTATGGAGTTTCCAAGGCTCTCAACCCATTTGACTCGGAGACGGACATTAAATTGGGAGGTTCAGCCTATGAAATGACCTATTACTATTAGTGTTGATAGGGCGTTAAATCCATACACTTATTTACTGTAGGGTTGAGATTCATAACCTTTGGGTATGTAACCATTTCAGAAAAGAAAGTCCAGTAAAAATTTCCCCATTTTCAGAATGAAGGACGACCTAGAAAGCAACACTGGAGACCTCAGAGTCCAGTGTGACTGTAAATGTTTTACCGCCCCATCAACATAATTAAGATCATTTAGACTGATCCTGTTTAAAAAAATTATTTTTAAGTTGGTAATTTTACAAAGCTATAACGCCAACACAAAACTTAGATCATTTAGGAGAAGGCCCTGCCTGTCAGGGCCAACCCAGGCTGAACTGAGAGTGAGCGATATAACGTACCGGGAGAAAGACTGAAATACTTGGTAAAAATCTTCCCCACACAGGAGTCTGCCTTGGGTCTCATGCACACGCCAAAAGAGCGCTTAACCACTACACAACAGATGCTGGTCCTGTAGAGACGGAAACAGCATCTCACTCAGCAGATAGGCTGACAAATTCAATGACATAACTTCTCCAAGGAAACATCCAACTTATGCCTTCAAGATGCAATGATAAAGAACCTAAACTTTACATCATGATAGACTCTGGCCAGTGGACTCTTTTTAGATATTGACCAGGTCAGAAATTTTATTTATTCTTATTATACTCCATCAATTTTTAAAAAATGAGTTCATCTGGTCCACACACACACTACGGTTCTCAATGGTAACTGAGACTCGTGAGCTTTAATCTCAAGATCAAAGATAAAACTTTTCCCCTTTCAGCGCTATATATGGCAGAGAGGTTTCAGCTATTTTATATTGCTTTTTTAGGTCATGGCACAAAAAAACCATACTAGATACCAGTGGTGTTTTACTCTAACCAATTAACTAGTTCCTTGAAAACTTTTCAACAGGCAAAAAAAAAAAAAAAACATCCTTCAGTCAGATTTAAATGATGAGAGGAGACACACATGTTTGCTCACAGCAGCCTTATACAATTTATAGTGCATGCACAGGCCTGATTTTTATGACTACTGCAGACTGACCTCAATACTACAAAGGTTTTAGATTTTTTTTTTTTCAGTTGACACATTTTTTCTTGTACTAACATGTTTAGAGGATAACACCACCAATATATTTTACAAATACATACATAATACAAATATACTTTGGAAAATCTTTAATATAAGCTTAGTTGATATTTGAACTGATCCCACCCTTTGCAGTTCACAAGAAGCTTTTTTTTAATATGTAGATCACAAGATAGACGGAAATTGGAAACTGCTTTTCCATGTTATAATGGTAAAAGTCAATGGCATGTCAGCATGTGTGTGAGTGATACGCAATCTTTTTGTCTTGTCGACAAATATGCAAAAAATTTATTGAGATAGAACAATTTCATCAGAAGATATTGCTTTTAAAAATATGTTGTTTTTTTTCAATTTCAGACAAAACATGATTCCGTACCGTAAATTACTAGGTTTTCAATTTAAATGGCAGTACACATATATATAGGAATCCATGACTGGGAAGCACAATAAAACTCAGTGACTGATATAGTACACTGTCAAAAGTGACTTAAAACAAGGTTTCCTTTGAAGCAGTACGTATGAATCATCAAATTCCTCAATAGATAGGGCAAGAGTAAAATATTAACTGACCTCAATTTGCAAGAAATAAAAGTCGCTCACACCAAGCACATTATACTCATAAAAAAAGGAAACAATTGCGAAGTGAACAGGTCAATGCACACATCTGCTCAACCACAGATTCCCCAGTTTGTACTTTCTCATGGTTTAAAATTGACCGTTACTACTCTTCTTCATAAGATTGAAAGGTTCTAAAGTAGCTTTTAGAAAAATCTCCTGACGGCAATGAGAACTTCTTTTTTTGCGATAAGAAACACAGAATTTACTCACTGTTTAGGAATACAAGGTTGATGTATAAATTCCTTTAAAAATCAGATCTGCTGGGTATATGAGATTCAGAATATATTCAGTGCTTCAATCATCTTTCTTGAAAATCTTTTAAATCTATAGGAGCATTCACTGACTAAAACAATAGTGCAAATATAATGCATATGTATATATATGAATCCCACTATAAAAAAAATGAGACAAAATTTTCTGTGCTCTTGAATAAGGGAGGCCAGAATTAATGAAGGACACAAGTCAAAGTCAACACAAATCTAAAAAGTAAGACAATTTCCCACTCATAGTAAAATCAGAAAACAATATTAAATTTTAAAATCTGCAAGTGTGCCTATACCTTAAGGATGTCATTTAAAACCCCAAAAAAGGCGGCACTCACATAATGGAAGACATAACAAACAATTTGAGATTAACAGCAATATCATTGTCCACATACTGCAAGGATATTAGTATAATAATTTTCTGATAAGGCACTTCTCTTGTTCATATATTAAAGAAACTGTCTAACTTTAAGAAGAAAAACTTTTTGGACTTTTTCCCATTGTTTTTAGTTAAAGCTGTGTGGTAATAAGTAAAAAAATTGAAATCAGAAAAATTAAAATTGACACACTTTTCGTGACTAGCACAATACACATGGACAAATATTTCTACAATCCAGGTAACACAAAAAAGAAAGTTACAGTACAGTCAGTAAATAATCACAAAAACTTCGTTTTAACAACAACAAAAATCAGTTCTATAACCACAAGATTAACAGAGCTGCATCCCCCAAAAAGGAAATTCCATTCACAGAGACACGCAAGAGTTGACATCAACCTGAGTTATGCTTTGTTGCTTCACAGTGAGAATTGCAACATAAGTGATAGGCGAATGTTTAACAGAAATATGGGATGATGTATAACATAAATATTCATGAGAAAATAGCTGCCCCATGAAGCTTTTGTGGACATAAAAACCTAAACACAATGTAAACCATATATCGATGCAGTTGCAAGAAAAATGTGTAACTTTGTTAATAATCAGCTTGAAAGAGAGAGTAGGAACCATTAAAGTTAATCATTTTTCTTGTGACGGCCATGATATGGAATCTCATCTCCTGGATTATTGACCGAACATTCTGGTGTAAATACTTAAAAACAACACTAAGCATGGCAATAAGAAGGAATTATCTAGAGGATTTCCATACAGCACACAAAAGTCTTAAGCAGGTAAGTCATTAGGAAAAAAGACAAGAAAAAAATATGTCCTCAAGAACGTTCTCCAACATGGGAAAAAAATAAACAAAAGAAAATCTTTCACAAACATTGAGAAGAGGCTTGAGACAAGGCTGTTTGCTGTCTGCAGCTTGCCAGGGGAAAACATTTACTTCTTCTTTTCCTTGTCATCCTTGGCGCTATCTGAGGAATAAAAAAAGAAAGTCAAATAAATAATAATAAATTACACTTTTATTTGTCTCAGAAGGGCACTTTGTTTTACAATGGCAAACATACATACATAAATACATACATACATAAATACATACATACATAAATACACACTATTACACAAATACAGAACAGTTTACAAACAATGCCACTGTCGGACGCCACTGTGCAGCGCCCTGTAATTTGAGCTAGGGTTGTCGTGTCTTGCTCAAGGACACACTCCAGTGACCACCCATCTGATCCCCGTGTCACCGACACTTGCTTGACATTGCTTGAGTCAAAACTGACTACTCAATTGGCCACTGGAGCCCCAATAAGCATGAAAATGCAGGTCCATGAGCACAAAGAATCTAACAAACCATAGGTCCATGAAAGAAAAACCTGAACAGGAAGATGTATATTAGTTTTATTAAAAGTTTTACAGCACTCACAACACAACAGGGTCATACAGTTGACGGCGGAGAAGTTCATGTCAGCGGGTAAGTGAAAAAAAGATCAACTCATCCGAAGTTCAACTAATTCATTGGGACTTATAAGTATAAGAAGAAGAGGTGCTGAGACCTGAGAAAAAGATCAACACAAGAGGAGTCGACAGTATAAATGCCACAGATAAGAGGTGTTACAAAAGAGTAACAAATACAAATAAGAAGGAAGAGAGATCAGGATGACGGGTGTTTGACGGGAAAGAAGGAGAAAACCCCACCAGAGCACTTGCCAACCACTGGCTAAAGATATAAGTTGAAAACATGAAATTCAGGTAGATGATCACTGGGGTGTATCCTAGAGGAAGACACAATAATACTAACTAAACAAACAGGGCTTTGTTGTGGTGACCAGCATTAAATTGTTTGCAAGACTATGCGTATGGGTGTGATATGGTGTTATGTCGATAAACATATGTTGTTTATGTATGCTAGTGTAAACTAACTTTAGAAACAGGGAAATCAAAAGTGGCAAGTTATAATTTTACTTTACTTTTAGACATTTGCAATCTGCTCGTGAAATGAAATAAAGCCAAACATACATAGATAGCATTGAAAATGTTAGGGCTACAAAAAAAAAAAAAGAAAAAAACGAAAAGAAAAAACGAAAAGAAAGAACCCCAGACTCTTACCCTTGGGGTTGAAATGCTTCTTGAGAGGCTGCCAGCACTGGAAGTAGTTGCTGTCCACCTTGGTGTTGTTGGCCCACTCGGTGACTGCCATGCTGAATGATGACTCAAACATAAAGGCCTGAGGGATGCAGATGAAAGAAAAACAATATTAAATAACGGAAGGACTATGTGTGTGTGTGTGTGTGTGTGTGTGTGTGTGAGTGTGTGTGTGTGCGTGTGTGTCTGAGTGTGAGTTCATGCACGCATGCTTGTGTGTGTGTGTGTGTGTGTGTGTATGTATGTTTGCAATTAGTAGAGGTTGTACGGTGCTTGCAACTGCACAAGGTCATAGAACCACCAGAAGATTAGAGGTGTTACAAGAGAGTAACAAACATAAAAAAAGAAGAAGGGGGAGATAAGGATGATTGATGTTTGATAGGAAAGAAGGGGCAAACTATACCAGAGCACCCACCAACCACCCACTGTGTGTGTATGTGTGTCATGTGTATGGTTGAGGAGAAAAGTGGTTGTCTTTGACAGGTGGAGGTCTTACAAAATGTCATCATATTGTAAAAAATGCAATGGAGGAACTGGGAAGTTGCAGCAACAAACAAGTTTTTTATTTTTAAAAACTTCCCCGCCCACAGACTGAAAAATTTTCTGCGTGCACAAGCAAAGAATCCAACAATTACACCACAGACACTGGTAGAATCACTAATTCAAATCATAACACATTTTTATAGATAAATATATTGCTTTAAAACAGTGGGTCTATACTGTTATAAGTCAATCAAAACAAGATAGGATTGTATAAAAACCTTGTCACCTTATTCATATTCATCGCCATACATCAAATAAATCTCATTTGACGTCCAACCATATATTTGACAACATTAAAAAACTTTTTGTTTACACAATAACATAAACATAAAGTAAGTCTATTCACTTACTTAAAAATGAAATACATAAAAACAATAAGCATGAAAACGCAGGTGCATGAGCGTCTTCAAATCATACTGCCAACCATATATACACAAAACCCCAACTCATTCAGATGTACAGCAATCAATTGCAACATTTCTAAACAAAAGACACCCGTCTTTCACTAAACTATTGATAGGCAATAAAAAAAATGAAACACAAACCATAGTTCCCTCAGCAATTTTCTGAGGTCCTAGTTCAGCATTTGAAGCCTTTTCAAAGCAGTCGTAGTCTGGCCCGTGTGGCGTCATCATGCTGTGCAGACTGCCACCCCCAGGCTTGAAGCCGTCCTCCTGGTGACAGAAAACACAAATCTGGCTTTAGTAACTACAGTCAAAATTGTGTAAGATGGCCATCCATGGTCTAGGAGAATTTCTAGCGGCCATCTTGGCAGAACTGATCAACATGTAGAAAACAAACCATTCTCTAAGGTCCAAACAGGAGGCGGTCGCAGGCTTAGGACTGCCATAAGTAGGCCCATTAAAGTGTTACTGATCGGTCAACTTGGGTAAACAGTGGGAGGGACCAGAAACCTCACCTTCACAATGTGCTGGTCAGAGATTAGTTAATTCGTAGGACAACAACAATAACAACAGCTGAATGGATTATGACAGCTCGTTCACACTGTCAGGGGCCGAATATAATTCATGGCAATGTGTCGGGTTATGATTATGACAGATTTACAAGGAAATCCTGGGCAGGTTTTTGGGGCCATTGGTTGATACACTGTCGTGGCCACAGCCATGTTGGACAGATTGTTGTTGTCTCAAGTTGGGTTATTATATGGAAATAGTGCAAGGGAGGAAATCGAAGTGGCCTTTTGTATGGTTGGTGGTCTTATATACGAAGCCATCTGGGCAGTTTCGACAACCTGCCTACTGTTCTATCATCCTAGTCATAAACATGCATGTGACATAAATCCAAAGAATGGAATAAACTCTCATGATTAATGTTTTACGTTCCGATCAACAGAAAACTGCCTACACCATGTACCCCAGCAAATGCGACCCCTTTCATTGGACTTGGCATGTAAGTAAGAAACTAAATTTCGTAGCCTTATGACTAAAATGAGTAAAATAACTGACCTTGGCTTCATAATTTCCATAGATCAGACCCATGAACTCGCTCATACAGTTTCCTGAAGACAAAAGAAAAAATAAATGAAAAATAAATTCCATTTATACAGTTCTGATTTCGTCCATTGTAGAGTGGCCAAATCCACCTATTTCATTGCAAAATTCTTCAGATACACTGAAAAGAAAAACATTTTCAACAAGGGCAGATATCATCCCAAACTAGTTGCTGACTCTGAGCCAGCATGACACATATTATTATATATATTACCTGCCACACAGCCTTGAAGAGTGAGAATAATAACAACAATTGCTTCCTTGAGTAAAGAGAAATAGATTAATCCAATGGTTACTTTGTGGAAAACCAAGACAGACACACAGAACAAGATTCAGTGAAAGGGAAAATGTAGGACCTACCATTGGCACCACCCCCCCCCCCCAACAATAATTGTTAACCTGAAAAAGAAGACAAACGAAAAGACCAGACCAGAGAAGTCACAACCCCCCTCCCCCCAATCACCACAAAACAAGGAAATAGTCTCACTGTGATAGTAGGGAGGTCGGAAGGTGTTCTCCTGCACAGACCATCTTGGTGGGAAGATGACGAAGTCCGCCGTGGCCACACCGGGCTTCAAAGAAGGACACGTCAGCACCGTGAAGATAGAGGGGTCCTGGGGGACAAGTTCATAGTAAAAATCACCTTCTGAAGAGTATAATTAACAGTTGAAGGAACCGTAAATGTATTCGCAAAATGATACGCCAAACTTCGCAGCAAGGATCAATAAGAGTGATATTTCATTTGTTTATCTTAACAGTCTCTATTTTGTAAGTTATAGCATCGTTATGCCAACACATACTCATTTTGTGTAAAGAAAAGCAGGGGTGTGCATCGGCGTATTCCACAGAAAGGGTCATGTTTCCATTTTTTTTTTTTTCACCCTCTTCTCCACTCAATGAGGCATTCAATTCAAAGCAAAAAATCCTTTTCTTTTTGAAAACGTCATTGTCAAACGACTAGTGGAAATCTTGAAATTGAGTTATTGATGAGGTGAAGAGTGGATCTGTTTTTATAGTAAAGAAGTGCTTTATAATTATGAAAAAACTAAATAATGAATATTTCAAAGTAGACTGTTGTCCAAAAGGTCTTATTGAATTTGCAGGTATAAAAGTCTTGTAAACACAAAGAAAAGTCTTGTCCTATTTCCAGTCATGGAAACTGGTGCCAAAACTTACCGCATGATCAAAGGCAACACAGTTGATGACCATAAACTTGCTGAGGTCATACTTGTACGGAGCATAGTTGCCATGCCAGGCTGCCACATCAAAAGGAGAATGACCCTGAGGGTAAAAAAAATATTAAGGAATTACAGTATTACCAATCAGACTGCATTACAAATACAGTAAACCATCCTGTATACCCTGCTAAAAATATGAGTGATGCTCAGGATAAGTATAAAGTTTATTTAGAAACCTTAACAACAACAACAAAATAAAAATAAAATTAAAGATAATTCTTGTAATGCCTTTAACAGAGATTTTGTGGAGCATGGAATAGATTTATTTCAACTCTCTTTTCTTCTCTGTAACTGCACCATCTTTCTCCTGCTTAACTGGCATGTGTAGGCCAACATCACCATCGATATCAGAACCAACATGTAAAATCCCCTTCCCTATTTCCAAATACAAAATTTAACAGACCTAAATCCACTCAATAAATAGCACTAGATGTACCCTGATGGGCAAAATACTCAATTTTGTTGGTGCAATTCTCAAAAGTAACATTTCTTCCTTCCCCTGTCAGCTAAATACAAAGATTTTTTAAATAGCTTGTCATACTTTCAACGTATTTTACATCATTTCTATTGAACTGATTTTACAGAGAAAATAATACTCTTAAAAAAATATTTAAAAAACACCTCAGGTTTCAAATAAAAATAGTGCACAGTAAATTAGTGACATCCATTTTTCAGATGTCTTACACTTTGCTTCATTTCATATATATACATGTGATATTGATTAAAATGATTGCAAGATAAGGTTCATCCAGGCCCAAACAAGTGAGAGAGATGGGACTGGGGTAAGCTTGCATATTACTGTAAATGTTGTTAGCGAGAACTTCAGAAATCATGTGACATACCACACTTCAGTCAGTTCAGTTATTTCTGTCTCCAAATCTTTTTAAAAAATGGAATGTATAGTTCTAAATCATGCTGACTCATTGTTGCCACAAGGAAGAAGAATAAATCCCTTTGAACCCCCCTTTACAATGCTAGCAAACAACTTTAGAGTTACAAATTTTTCTTGCAACCTCAACAATAGAGAAATATTTATTAGCTAACACAGTATAATTGATGGCAAAGGAAATTCTCCACAATGCTGCACATTCTAACCTGAGTGGCAGAAAACAAATGACCATGGTACTTGCTGATGACCGTATACTCTCTAACTTCCCGATCCTCATACCAAGCCACCGGCGACAAGAAGTCCCGGGGATTGGCCAACCCGTTGGCACCTGCAAGAAGACGTGAAATCATTTTAAAGGCATTGACAGTAAAATTATGCAGGGTCTCTATCACAAAAAAAGGTGGGGTTTTTTTAAAGAGAGAAACTCAAACATTTTTTTACTCACCCTGTAAAGTAAATACAAACATACAAACAGAGTTACTCGTTACACATTTTCATATCCATAGCAATATTATAATCATTCTTGATTGTTAGATCACGAATGAAATGGTTTCTAAGGGGTGTATTGGCAGAGCTGTTGAAGTACTTTTTCAAATGTATTTAAGTACAAATTTAAGTACAATCTAAAATATGTACTTAAGTACAGTAAAAGTACTTTCCTGTAAAATGTATTTGAGTACAAGTACTTTTTAAAAAAGTACTTATGAGTACATTTAAGTACTTTCTGCTAATATGCTAAAACACTTCAGTGCTAAGGCAAAACATCATATTGAATAACATATCTAGTATATTTGACAAATTCAGCCATTTATTACTAATAATGTAAACAGTATATAAAGCATTTGAATATACGCACTGAACGTAGGTGGAAATGGTCCGTGAAATTGAAAAAAAAAACCCCAGCAAACAAACAGACGCAACTAGTGAGTAAGTGATATTATGAATAAAACTTTTTTGTGCAAGACGATGTGATCAAATGTAAGTCAGTACTAGAGGTCGGAAAGTAGGAAAAGTATCCAAATTGGAAAATGTAAAGACAAAGTTGCTCTTAAGAAAATATAAAATTGTTGAAAATGGCCAGCAAAAAAAGAATGCATTGAATTCTTCATTAACGAATCCTCAAGGAATCAAGGTAGCCTTAAGCACAAACCACAAAAAAGGAAAAAAAGAAATTTAGGTAGCCTAAAAAATTGTTAGATTGATATACATTGAGAACTCAGTTTCAGTTTCAATTGATTATAATAGTGGTAAGACAGATTTTGGTCACACTGTGTAGTCCACGGCACCCACGGCAAACCAAAATAGGCCTACATGTAATTTCCTAGAGTCCAGTAAGTGTTGTTTAACCAAAAATTCTCTACTATAGTAGTCTCCGCCTAAGATTCCAGTGCTCGGGAGCAAGGGAAATACGGGATCTTAGCCGACGAAGCCAAGGAAGAATCTACAGTGACCCATGAATTGACGTGACCCCTGGGTAGGTTTATGACATATGGCGAGCAAAGAGTGATCAACCTTAAAAAGAAGGTGATGACCAATCACAGTAGCATGGTGGCATGAGGCATGCCACAATATTATACCGTTCTCTCATTAGCATATCGTCTCGAGATCTTTATCTACGTTTATCCAGTTGCCCCTCCCCTTTACCTGTCCAAAAATTGTAGCCTTCCATCTCTGATTGAGTCCCCCCCGCCTTTGTCGTTACGTACCATTACGACGTGACCACACCAATTAGAATTCAAGCTCTCTCGCAAATTCGGGAATAGAGAAAAACATTCACGAGAGTGGCTTATCTTTGACGCTACAGGCAGTTCTTTAATCTCTGCTTTTAACTCTTGGTTGATCGGCTGTGCCCGCCCAGGTGTTTGTTCCGTAAATTATGACCAGAAATGCCGGCACTTATTCTTTCATTAAGCTTCAAAAGTACTCAAAATGTACTTTAAAAATGCTCAAAAGTACTTTTATAAAAAGTATCGGAGTACAGTAAAAGTACTGGTTCTCAAAATGTACCGGAGTACAGTAAAAGTACCGAAAATTGTAACGTAAGTACAAGTACCGGAGTACTTGTACTCCGTTACAACCAGCTCTGTGTATTGGTGGCTATAGACACAAAAGCTTGAACATTAATTCATCATACTCATACTTTTCCTGAGCAGATAGAAGATAACTGTTTGATCGAAGTAAAAAGGTTTTTTTTAAAAAGATGTCAAGCAAACAAGTCAATGATATGACATTACAAAATGAAACAGTAGCATGCAGTGTTTGTCGTTGTGGTGCATGACCTTAGTTTTTAACTTTACTTGCTCAAGTAAGTGAGTGCAGTGTGACCACCATTGCTTGACATTATTTTCGAAACTGTGCCCACTAATCACTTGGCCACTGGAGTGGATCTATGGTTTCAAAAAAGCATTTTTTGAGACAAAACCTAAAACATCAAGAGAAAATCCATAAAAATAATAGTATAGAGAAAGAGCAGAAATCCAGCCATAACTGAAAAATAAAAACGCATAACTGAAAAATAAAAACTTGACCTGGTATTTATAATATCCCAAAAAGAGTTTTATCACTTAATCAAAATACCACGACATTACTACTGTGAAATCATCAGACAAACTTTCACTACCACCCCCCACTCCCTCCCAACTTCCCCAAACCCTAGAAAAATCCCCAAGAAATCACAAACAAACACAAAACATTCAACTGCAAGAGGTGCCAACAAGACCCTCACCCCCCCCCCCCCTCTCCCCCACTCACACACACAAAAAAACCTCAAACCCAAACTAGTCTGTTTCAGAAAACAAAGGGCCTACCAATGGGTCCAAGCGATGGGAGAACAAAATGGTCAGAGAACACTTCCAGGACGTAGCCCCTTGAGTTGCCCTTCACGTCAATGCTGAATCGGATGCCTCGCTGACACACAAGATGAAGACATTTCCAATCAATGAATAAGAACACACACAAAAAACAACAACAAGATAGATTAATCTTCAATTTATGTTCAATGAAGATCACAAAATGCTGAGCTTAGCAGAACATTAACTTCTTGAGGGGCAAATAAGATGACAATTTGTTTTCCTTAATTCTAAAACTTCCATCAAACTTTGTGAACACTGTAAGTTCTACATGAATATCACACTTAAGACTGTCATTACCGATTGGAAAGGCATAAAGACAGGAAAGCAAGCTTACTTTTTGTTATCAAAACAAAGATTGGATGTCTCATTTTGAGCACATGAGTGTGGAACTACCAACACGAAATTCATAGCTTAATTTGTTTTCAGTGCCACTTTGACAGTCGAGAGTTGGTTATCAGTAACTAAATATTCAAGTACTCTTTCTGAAATAAAAATAACAAGACCAAGTCTCTTTAAAAAAAAAAAATTATTTATGGAGCTCCCCACCTATAAAGTTGTAGGAAAAGAGTAAAGAACATGTACAACAATTAGATTTTCCTCTTCTGCTTCCCTCCTCCTCCTCTGACCCCGTTATAGAATTAAAGGGAATTATATATCACCATGAAATAATATTCTCACCTGTATAACACAAATTTCATTGGGTGCAACATTCATTTTTCCCATTTCTGTTGTGATGAACAGAGTCCCTTCTTGTGGAACTGAAATGGGAAGCGAAAAAAATAAATTACTTTACGTCAGGAGCAGAGAATGACTCGGTTCATTAATCAGAAAAACACTGTCAATAAACATTCTTTCTTTTAGAGAGTAAAGACAAACATCTTGTCAATAGCAAGACATTATATGAAGATTTTTATTTTATTAAAACCAAATTTGTGACATTACGTTGCAAATAGTCATCCATTTCTTTACACCGCAGAGTATACTATATCTGCTACAATTCAAGTCTGCATGACTGCAATTACATCAATGAAACTCACCAATCAAAAAATCGCCATCCGAGTTGTACAGGCACCTGAAGAACAAAAAAGAAGGAATTAAATAAAAGGAATGAGTACTCCAAACTCCAAACCCTGGAAAAAATTAACACCCCCCCCCCCAATAAACAATTCTATTAAGTGCACCATTCATAATTTATCTACCAAAAAAAACACACACACAAACCCCCCCCAAAAAAAAAACCAACAACTACTCCTCCCATAACAAATGTCTTAGTTTATTTTTGTAAATATGCTTACCAAATAATTTTGCTCTCTAAATCTGTCTCACTTTCAGTATCTAGTCCACAGCCTACAAACATTAACTAAATACATAATACAGTTTTTGTTCTTATGCCAGATATACTTTAGACCTTGAATGATTCTTCAGTTTCTTGGCTGAATAGTTCCCAAAGCCAAAATATTGTACCCGGATTAGCTGGTCATAAAACCCAGGATTCAACCATTGTAACTCCTATACCCTCACTACTAGATTAAGACACCCTGTCAAGTAAATTCAACCATACTGGCACTCACTTATTTTCCATAGGTTTGTTGCAAGTGTAGATGTAGATTGCAATGCCACTGCGGGCTTTTGGGTCTCCAGCACCACAAATTGTGGCAAGACCCTGACAAGCAAAGACAAAGTTAATGACTTAACTGCCCCTTTCAACACTGTAAGATTATTCATGAGGTAAGGTATCTTAATTTAATGCCCACAGGAAAAGACCGAGTAATGAAGAGCATCGAACCCCCACTACAAAACCCAACTTTCAAGAACGACCCATGTTTAATTTAAACCAGTCATTTATGCTGTCTCCAGCATGTTAGCAGCTGAGTTAACAAGCACACCTGATCCTGACCACAACGTGGAAATAGGCAGCAAATTTCTTTTGATAAGATGACTTTATAATCATTACCACCCCACCCCCCCCCCCACAAACACACACAAATAGCAAAATACAAAACAAAAGCACAAGAAAATATCTGAATATCAGGAAAAAACATTGACATATTTAACACCTGGAAATTTGTATTCAAGTTATTCGTATATCAAACTGTAATAAATGCTAGTTTCCACACTCACACACTACACCTTAACAACAAAGAAAATGTTGTCAGTGATTATGAACTGTCTTGAAGACACAATTTTGCTCATGGAACAAATGATGAAATGGTTAAGAAAGAAAAATAAACAGACAACATTAATGAATAGCAAAGCAACCTTAAAAAAGTGGAAATGTTATACACAAAATCGAAGGAATCTTTGAAAAATTGATCATCAGTCCAAAAACTGTCTTTAAAAGGAACAAACACCATATTTTCATCCAACTAATATATCAGGATTTTAAAATATTTCCTAAAAGTCATTATTAAAATATTTATAATTGTTGCTGAGAAATTATCCTCATATTTGTTCATATTACAGAATGAACAGAATTAAATTTAATAGTAGAACAAGGCAACTTCAACAATCCTCACCTCAACGAAATCCTGCTTTTTCTTGGGGAAGTCAAAGGGATTCCATCTCAACTGTAAGCAAAATAGGATCAAATAAACATCTATCAATTTTTTTCAAGCATTAAAACAGAAACAAATGAAATTTAATTTTCTATGATAATTTACAGGATTGGCGCAAAGTCTGAACTGGTTCAAGTCTAGAGGAAACTGCTGAGACTGCGAGACTACGAGAAAGGATGTTCATAAAAGTCTTAAAAACTGGCTCTGACTACAAGGAACCAACACCATTTTCTCAACTATGTTAATGATTATAGAAATTTCACTACCCAATCTACACAAATTGGATCCTTGAGAAGGCAAGTTGCATTGACTATGAGAAAGGTTTTTTTTGTAAGTCCAATAACTGGCTCTATTCCAGGAACCAATATCATTTTCTCAAAAATGTTAACAATCATCGAAATTTCACTTCCAAATTTACACAATTTGGATCCTTTAGAAGGTGAATTGTTTTGACCCTGCCCACCAGAGCAAAAAAAACAACAACCTGACCATTAAATCAAGAATGTAACATGTACTAAACAGAGTGTGGTATGATAGTTAGATTTTGTTCTAATAAGACTCCTGAATGTTTACAACACTTTTGCCTCACTCTTCCATATCATCTTGATTAAAGTTTAAAATCTCCAATGCAGCTTACCATTGGTGAGGGATAAAAGAAGTTAGTGTGACTGGATCATTTGGTAAAGAGAAACGAAACTCCTCTCTTAAATTTCAATCATCACAAACAATATGAAATACATTTAAGGGCTTAGAAAAGATAATTTAGTTTTTGTTTTAATAAGACTGTCATGGTACATGCAAGACAACTAGGTCATATAAGTGCAGAAGATTAGAGGTATTACAAGGGAGTAACAAACACAACAAAAAAGGGAAGAAAGGTAAGGACGATAGATGTTTGATAAGAAGGAAGGAGGAAACCACACCAGAGAAATCATCAACCACCCACAGGTAATTTATAAATTTATTTTTGAAACGTGCTCCAGACAATTCAAAACATTAAAAGACCAAACTCTTCACTTTAGGAACAACAAAAACCTGATTTGGGTTTGGCTCCACAGTGTCCCAGTCATGAGTCAACAAACCATTGTCGATCTTCTTGAATGGTTTGTGAATGACAGAGGGTCGAATCCTGTAAAGCCATCTGTGAAGAAAAAAAGAAAGAAACAAAGATTAGTTATTTTTCATACAAGTATACTCAATACAATTTAGTATACCATGCTGTCCTTTTGTAAGAAAAAGAAGGAGGGCTATACCTGTGTGAAAATGGATTACGAGGGCAGGCAAAATATCAGAAATAATTTTTTTTAAAAGAGGATAAGGGCAACAGCTGTGCACACTGTTTCTTGCATGGACACTTTTTTATTTTTGGTGGGGGGTGGGGAGGTTGACAATGCAAAATATAATACACAAATACACAAATGAAGAAAAAAAGAAAAACCTATCTAAAGTGCAATATATATCTTGCTGTAAATGATATTGACCAGAAGTGGAGGCTTTATGATACTTTTAGTGACTTACGTTCTTTTGTTCTCATGCCTCATGGCTGTAAATGCAGAACCTGATAGCTGCTCAGCATAAAGTCCATAAGCACATTTTTGTGGATTGTTCTGTAGAAAGGAATAGGTAGTCAACATCCTTTATGTATTAACAAAGCATATCAAATACCCCAACCCATTCCCTCCTCTGCCTTTACAAACAAATGACAAAACTTCAAAACATGTATTCAGTGGTTATGGAGAGGAAGATCAAGGAAAAAAAACCCAACTACGTACCATAAACGACTGATCATTCATTTTTTGCCACGGATACAACTTGTTATTATTTTTCTTCTTCAAAGGAGAAATACCCGAAAATTTGCTTTTGGACAAAATAAAATATATCTCGTAAGCTTTACATAAATTCAGATTGTAAAAAATGCAAAATCCAACACAATGCTCAAGACAGCGATAATGACTGTGTTAGAAGACAGGCAGTCAAAGAAGTAGCCTACACCAAAAGATTGATCATACAAGAGAAAGAGTAAAAAGAAAAAAAATAATCATTAAGTTGGACCATTTAACTCTATATGAAACACTTCACTCTCATCAATTCAACGGCAGTTTAACCAAGGGGAACCTATATACAATATTATATTACACAAAATAAATACATTGTGATATGATCTGTGAGAAAAATAAACACATCAGGAAAGCAGTAGTGGAGTGGACACCCATATAAATAAAGAAGAGAGCGTGACAGTGTGACACCTGTTAGAACAACTATGACTAACAACACAATCATTATTCTTTGACTTGGAAATCATGAATTATATTCTCTTATTATGATTACATGAAACACTCACCTGGCCCTCTGGCAAGGCTCCAGGACATCTGGGGTCTTCAGTGGCAAATTCATTGTCAAAACCAGACATGTACTGCAAAGGTGAAAAAAGTGTTTACTTTATGATACTCATATAGACTAGTATAGCAATGCCTTCCAGAAAGTAAACCCTAACCATTTAAGTTTGGCTCTAAAACATTGAGCCACTGATTACTCATGAATCATGAAAGTCTCATACATCACATAAATGATATAATATCTATCAAGTATCCTAATTCAGAAGTACATTTGAAGCTAAGGGAAACTCCAATATTAACATTCCTTGCTGTGATAAGCAAAACTTTTAATCCAGTTTATTGCACACCATAGAATATTATAACAACTTTATCAAGAAGAATATGGTAATCACCTAACAAATCAAGTACTGGTCCATGAAGTGCTGTACTCACATCCAAAGCATGCTTCAGCTTGTAGGGGAGTACTAGCAGTCAACTCAAGGGAGCTCATTAAATGCACAAGACCAGAGAGGGTCATTTTGACACAAAACTCAAAATACATAATCAAAATAGAAGACTTTGATTTGAGCCCTTTTGATTTTGTTAATCTTTGCTCTATTATTTGTTAAGTCCTTTTCCCCCTCAGAGGAATTGGATAATAATATATATGCTGGGGACGAAAATGAACACTGCTGAAAGGTCTCGTGTCAACAACTCGGAAGGCTGGATGACTTCACCAAATAATTCAGGCTCATTTCAATTATTACAACTACTATCTCTGTCCCCAAAGCTAAAAATACTGTCAAGCTCTATAACGCACATACACTGCTTTCAATTATACATGAATATCTACTTTGCCAAGTACACATTTTGAAGTAAACAACATCTTACTTTTGGGGTCTCGAACTGAACACACAACCTTTTTAAATCACACAGGTCTAACGCCTTATTTCACTAGACTAGATTGAGACATGATTTAAAATATCAAAGGGTGCTTCAGAATTTAAGATTTATTATTAATGTAAGGGTCAAGACTCTAACCAAGCCCTGTGACACTGTTATAGTTCAATAATATTTTTTAAATCATTTGCCACCATGTAGGCCTAAACAAGTACTTTAGTACAACTTTCTGAAGCTACCCAGTCTCCCAAAGCAGTTTATGTAATCCAGATACATAGTATCCTTTTAAAACATGAAAACATGAGTATCTGAAGTTAATGGCCATACAAGATTCTCTACAGCCTAAATAAAGTACTATATAATTGCAGTATCTGGAACTATACATCAGTAAAGCGTCATTGATTTTTAAAATTATCCTTCATAATGTCTACATTTAGACTAAACCATTTATCGTCACCAGCTGTTAAAACATCACAAGCCAAACATTTTCCACAAAAAAAAAATATAGCAGTTTTTCAATCTATGGTAGGCCCTTTTGGCTGCATGTGCAGAGAAATATCTTGTCGAATCATAAATTCTAAATGGCTATCAAATCACAAGTGCCAATGTAAAATAGCCTAGCTATAGCCATGCTCTCCTGGGCTGCATAATTTATGATTGCTTTATATAACAACCCGCATGGCCACACAGGGTGGTGGAGACTGGTCTTTCCAAACCTGCCCGCCCAGACAAAGTTCTATGTCTTATAGACATAATATTTACAATTTTCTTAGATGTAACGAAAAATATGCACACATGTGGCCCTTCTGAATGCAGCAAGAGGGTAATAATTCATTGTTTTCTCAAGACTGTTGAAGAAGATTCTGAAGCTGATCAGGAGAAGGGGAATTTATGATGCACTATTATATGGCGTATATGGGCATTCAGCTTGTCAAAGAAAACAGATAAAATGGAAAGATAACCGGTTCACCGCTACATTATTTTGAAGATCAGTCTCATCTACAACAATGTCTTCAATGATGGGTTTTAATTTAACCTTTGTAATCAAAATTGAAAGACGTTTATAATTAACAAGACCAAAAAAACTTTCATGACAAATATGTTGGAGGAAGCTGGTACGTAGTTCATAAAGATAGCAAGGAGACACGAGAAAGAAATGGACAAAAATACAGGCCCGAGACCCAAACAAAGGAAGCATCGTGCATATAGGCCTACAGAGTAGGCATCATCTGCATGAATCTTCAATGTGTCTTAATTTGTTGTGTACCCTGCTCATGGCCTGTGCTAGTACTGTAGAAGAAAGCTAGCTGGCTGTGCACAACTTACAATAATTACAGCGTAGGATGTGGACTGTTATGTCTGGCATGAGGGGGAAGGTCGATTGACTTCTGATGAATTGTGATCTTGCATCATAGACTATATATGCACGATCCCTTGCCAATATTTATGGCAAAATAATACTGCAGAGTGATGAATGCCGTTCCTAAATTAAAAACACTACACCTGCCAGAGGGATCTCAGCCCTAACTTGTGAGCTCAACATCACAATTGAACAGAAGTATCCAACAGAGACGCACTGAAGGGCAGTCGAATAGCGTTTACAGCGTCATTGAATGATCCCTCAAATATACACTCTAAAACACATATACCTTCTGTTAATGTTGTCAGACTGGTGCGTCAAAGCCCTTCAACCAATTAAAGTCAAATACCCAGACCATCCTTTTTTCAGAAAATATTCATGAGTACAAGCGAATTCTACTCAAACATTCAACCAGGCGGGTTAAGTGGTTGACATACAAGCAGTCCGTTATTCCTCACAAGGGGACATTCAGTGCAAGGACTGTCTGAGACAAAAGGACAACAGTCTGACAAAATCATGAAGCCATGAGTCATCAAGCACTGTTACCCCTGCACAATACTTGCAAAGATAAGATCTATCACGAAAATAAAAAAATATTCAGGAGTTGAAATCAGCTGACGACCAATGCTTTTTATAAAGGAATGTATTTGATTGTGCGTACGTGTGTGTGCGTGATGAATAAACGCGAGACTTTACATGAGCGCTTCCATCAGAAAAGAGGTTTTAAATGGGAAGGTGAAATAAGACGGTACTTTTCAAAGTAATAAAATGCTAAAAATGCACACTATAATACAAAGATCTACGTATTATTATATAATTTCCAGTTCGAATCATTAACAAGAATATAAATATATATATGTAGTCATTAGGGTACTTTTTTTACATCATGAACTAAAAAAATTATCAAGAGCGCAGATTGACGATTTCTGTAATACTTAAAACCTCTACTAAAACTTCTTTATTTAAATTCTTGTAAAGTGCTAATATTATCATTTATGTTCTATCTTTTAAAGGTCTGCAAACTATAAATTTTATTCTCTATGAAAGTTTTTAAGTTGTGATCATAAGCTGTACCGATTTGTAATCTAGCAAACCACGCTTTTGGCAAAGTAAACCACAGTAGTAAGTCAAATAAGTATGGCTTATATTTGTAAATTTTATCAGCTTAAAAAGGAAATAATGAACAGTCTAATCTTCACATTACAAAAACATCTTTTCAAGAGATGGTAATTTATCTCAACCAATGGACAATGCCTTTATATAATATTTTCTTATTATTGCATCAATTTTGAAGTCTAATGAAGTTAAAAGAATGAGCTCGTGTTTTCTCTCCCCTGGAAAAAAAATGATTTCAGGGTTTGTGACATTTTAAATTCTGGCAGACAGGCTAGCTATCAAACAGCTTGCATAATAGTCCTAGGCATTCCCCACTCCCCAGACTGTATGATCTAACGTATAACTTATAGCAATTTTAATATGCTAAATATACGTTTTAATAAAATTTAGGAAGACCTCAGCCAACGCCTTAATTTTGACTGAGATTTTTTTTTCTTCTTTTATTTTTATTTTAAATCAAACGGGCAACTGGACACGGCAGGGCAAGGGCCAGCTTGGCTTAGGTTAATCAGACAAGATCTAGATTCTAAATGTTCCAATGGGGAAAAAACGAGAAGAAAATAGTGTGCCTATGAGAATGAGAGGGGGAAAGGGGGTGAAACATAGGGCTCCGTGGCATAATAAACTAGCTGACCTCAAAATCTGAAGGACAAGCACATCATGTTATGCTAGTGTGATCATACACTGGAGGTGTGTTCTAATAACAAGCCAATGAAATTTCAGCAACGCGGCACACCCCCAAGCGCGAAGTCTAAGGGTCAAGGACTTAGGGGTGAAAGACATCAAGTTTGCTCTGAGAGAATGAATTTAAAAATATCTTTACACGCGTTTGCAATGATTAGGCCTACGTGATAAGTGATAACAGCTATCACGAAAAACTAAAAGACAATGACAATATAAAGTCTAGATATACTTGTTTTCTTCTTCTCCACGATTATCGAACCACACATCAGCAATAACAACACTCAGCATGCAGTGTCATCATGCACCGTCTGTTTAGTCCACGACTCAAACATCAGACTTTTATTCGTTTAATTATTATATTTGTAATCATAGAAACGATGCAAATAATAATAAGATACTATATTAAAAATACTACTGAAAAAGAAAACTTTTTTTTCAACGCTAACCTTGAGCTCAGCAGCCATTTCTGAAGTTTATCTCGCCCTCGTCACCGACCGTCGGACTGACTCGACAACACTTTGACGTTTCTTCGCTCGTGTCCCACAGAAATGGGACTTGCACTGGTGGTGCACGTACTTCCGCTCAATGTTTTGGTTTTGTTTTGCGGCAAGTGTGTGATGTTTGTTTGGGCTTTTTAAAAATCCATTTCTATTTGAATAATTTACTAAATGAATTTGTCAGTAAATAACCAGAGATATGCATCATCTGAAGGGGAGGGGGATAATGTTTTTAAAAAAGTGGGACTGAAGCAAAATAACCCGTTTAGCGTTTTCAGCGATTTTTGTTCACATCTTGTGGGACAAGTGCAGTAGGGTGGCTCCGTACATACATTTGGTTTGATTAAGGAGATTAAAAATCTGCAAATAATTATTCTAAACAGCCTATTAGCATTTTTTTCACAATATTGTTATAAAATGTGTTTCAAATCCCGTTTTACTCATAGGATATTCTGCCAAACTGATAATAATTTTTTTGAAAAATGTTTCTTGATAATTTCTATCAAGAAATGCACTCTTTTACAAGCGGCACAGTTTTTGGAAGCCTGAAAAAGACGACTGTCCAAATTAGATATAAGTTGATATTTGAAATGGAGGAATAGGTGTAAAAAATATTAATACAATGGAACATTTAATTTTTTTTAAATTATCTTTCGGAGAATAATTCTCTGCATTGAACGTTGACCGCTGACATACTAATAGCCGTTTCATTTTCCGCGGTCCTTGCTTGCCATCAATAACTTCCTTAGCGACAATCTAAATAAGCGCCCTGAAAGGGATCTGAACTGTGTGTTCAGACAGAGAGCTGTGCCCTTTTGGATAATGTATTTCGGTTTGTATACCTTTTATTTAGTTTGATATATTTACATTAGAAATGAATTTAGCAGGATGCACTTTGTATGTGATTAGAGAACCGGTTCTAGGCCTTCTTCTTAATACAAGTGCGATTCTTGAATGTCTTGATTTGTTTTTGATAGCAACTTTAGCACTTTAGCCTTAGCAGAACCTGCCTTTACCTACTCTTACCAGATCTAAGTTACTTGTCAGTATGTCAGCCACGGATGACAGCGACTTTTGCAAGTTTGATTTGCAACACTTATCGTAGTGTTTGATCATTCCATTTTAGATAAGGTATTATAATTGCATAACCTTTTCAAATTTCATCAGCAAAGTAAAGTACAGATTACAGATCCTTCCTTGTCGAGTTTTCAGTTCGATCATCATCGTGTTATGGTGTAAAAAAGCGTGTGACTTCACCTTTAAAAAGATAGAGACTCTAGACTATATCATATGAAGTCTGCTGTGGAATTGATGGCAGGAGTGCAAATAAAGCTTTTGATGATTAGACTTGGGTCGAAGGTGAAGAGTCAGGAAAAGACTATTGAAATTGAAAGGCTATCCTCGGAATACAAAATATATAGAATAGGGTCTCTGATATATATTATTAAAAATAAGTGATCACTTTTAACAGTCATAATGCATTGGTCTCAGGGAAAGATCTTTGTATGTATGATCAATCTAGGCTCTTAATTTCTTATACCCTATCTGTACGTCGTGTTTTACTATCGTATCGATAGGACGTGGGGAAATCTGTACTGCTACCACTTTCCAAAGAGAAATTTACTCGTTAATCCGATCCGTACTCTTTGCATAGCAGTCTGTCAAAAGGATTTTTTTTTTAAATACTGAAAGTTTCAAAGAGATTTTCGTGCTAGAGATATTCTAAAATGTGAAATACAACCCCTGGGGTACAAAATGACCCCAGGGCGTACGGATAGGGTTAAGAATTTACTATTTCAGTATTATACTATTCAATATAATGATTTCCTATTCTTTCCAAGAACTTGACCCTTAAATTAAATTGGCCCTGCATGTGGCCTTTTTAATAACTTTATAATAGAATTTCTAAAAAGAAAATGTATAAACTTCATCATGTAAAAATATGTTCATCTGAATTTTATAAGATATGCATTTTGTATTTTGGTTGTGTACTTATTAGATAGATGACTTTTAAGTTAAGACAACAACATCCAGGTAATTTTTTTCCCCCATTTTAGCTACAGAGAATGAGATGTAGAGTGGCGATTTATAAGATAGAGACTTGGTTCGACTAATGTTCTTTTATATTTCTTGTTGACAGAGAACTGAATTAAAAAGGCAACTCGTTAAAATGGATGAAGATCCATCGTCTGTTCAGCCCTCTGGCGATCCATCGAGTAAGTATTTTAATTTTGTGCCAGTATTTCCTGGTTTTTATTGCCAATAATGTTTATGCAGTGCTGTATATCTGTGTTTTGTTGTCATTCTTAGAGTAGCTCTTTTATAGGCATAAGGCTTGTCTGATCTAGGTGACGGTTATGAAAATAAATATAATCTGTTTTGTAAGAGGTATGCATGTGTTTTGTAGTTTTCCTTATCTTTCATACCAATTTTTCATGATGCAATATAATTAAATTTAATAACCTGAGAGACATCTATAGTATAGTACAAGACTGATTTTGCAAAATTCAGAATCCCATTTTGAAAGTTTGTAGGTTTTTTCGTTTTCTTTGTTTTTCATTTGCATCTTTTAAGTTTTCATTAGTCAAAAGCATTTAAAAGGTGTTTTTTCCCCTTTCAAACTTAGGAGAAAATGGTGAGCCAGAGCAGGCTGCTGGGGATGGTGCTGGTGACCCTGTACAACCCAGTCTTCGTGCTGTGAGCATTGATGATGAGAAATGCGCAAAATCTGTGCAGGATGTAGCTGAGCTTGTCCGCAGTCTCAACCAAGACCCATACAGTGAAGATGAGGTGGAAGAAAATAATTCTTTCTAAATGTCTTAAATATTTATATTATGTTTTCTCAAGTCCCATGTTTACATGATAAGTTTTTTGATAGAGTCATTATTTAAATGAAAATTATTGGTTTATCCAGTCAAGGCAATTAATACATGTGATTTTAGGGATTTGCTCGGAGAGTGTAAAGGAAAAAAAAAGGAATTGAAAAAGAAGAGGGATTGAGAAATTCATCAATTTAATATTTTTAATAGACAAGTTAGCACCCCACTAATCAGCTGCTTAAAAATGCTTTACAAAATTAATTCTATTAATTCTTTTCATCTCATATTTAGTTATTGTGAATATTGTTTCCTTGCAGACGGAAATGCGCTTCCTGTATTCGAAACCCACCTGTTTTCTGTTACTTGGGAAACCTGGAGTTGGGAAAACCACACTTGCCAGACGTTTTGCAGCAGAATGGAAATGTCAGCTCATCAATTGTAAGCACAGAAGTCAAAGGTTCTTTACAGTGTCTTCCTCTCACCAAGAGCAAAAATTTGATGTATTTTTGTTTCGTGTTCATGTGAAGTCATGTTTATAACTTTATTTAAGATGTTGTGGGTCTCCTGTTGTCATGATTGTTTACAGAGTAGGTTTAGTTTCTTTTATGCTGCTATCAACAAATACTCAAACGAGAAAATGTTCCCTTAAAAATTTCATAATGAATATCCTTCTCATCAATGCTCTTTTTTTAAAAATTCCTGGCAGACAGCATGAAAAATATGTGATTCAATAAAGTTTTTTGTTTTTAGTTGATTTGATTAGTGCTTACTCTTTCTATAGCAAATGAACGAAATTTCTTTTCTCTCTCATGAATAAGAAAAAACTGCAAGATGACCTCTTCAATATTTTGAAAAATAAAGTTTTATCAAAATCTTGGATAATGTTTAATATCCTGTGCTTCAGAAATTTATTCATGCCTTTTCTATCAAAGTTTTTAATGCTCACCAACATTTTTGATGTCATGGTTGTGCTCCATCCTGTTGGAAGTAAAAGAAATAAGTTTGATTCTTATTTGGGGAATTCTGTTGTTTTTATTTTTCCTCTGGAATGCTGCATCCTTTTCATCCCATGAAGGTTTAAAAGCACCCCACTTCTTAAATGATATAAATTTCTTTGGCAGGGGCTAGAACTTTGGCAATCAGTCTCTTAAATGCTCAGGAATTCCTGTTGCTCCCTCTTGTAATTGAAAAAGCCCTCTAACCTATACTTCTCTTCTTTAGCAGTCACCATAGTCAGTGCTATTAGAGGAAAAGAATGTAAGACACGAGAAGGTTGGGTATGCTCTTCAATCTGTAGTAATCTGAATTAAATTTATAGGTAGGCCTAAAACTGTAATACTTGAAATCAGTTTCTTTATATGTTAGAATCTTTTAATGCAAAAATGTTCGTCACCAGCCACGGACATCATACTTCAGAACATGGAACTTCAAACAGAAATGGGCCTCAAGTGTGCGGAGATTTTGCGTCGTGGAGAAGCCATTCCTGATGACATGGTGCTGAAAATGATTGAGGACAAAGTTAATTCTCCAGAAGTAGCACACCATGGTGAGGAGATGAAACTAATGATGAGATTATTGTTGTATTTTCTGTATCATTCATTTTATTCTCTGTTAGATGACCATTCTGCTTCATCTACGAAAGAATGATGATAATCACTTTGTTACTTTACCAAGCGTTAAAAAAGAAATACGCATTTGTTTGGCTTGTTTTTGTTTTTGTTTTTGTTTGAGTATAAAAGCAACAACTTACAATATAGATTTATAGATAATTTTAAAAGCTGGCCTCGCTCTATTGAGGTTTTGGGATTTATGTTTTGTTAGAGTGAACCCTTGGTAGTCTAGTGATTTGTATGAAGTCTACTGAGAGGACAGAAGCCAGAGTGAACATTGAAAAGAATTGCCACCCTCTTTGGAAGTTAAATTGGGGCATACAGTATCACCTTACCAGTGTGGTATTTATAACTCCTCTTGGTGGGACAGTGTTCTGTTTATATCCCAGAGCTCTCTCAGGGTTCAACATCATTTGTGTACCTACTATGTACAACAGATAGAACATTCAAACAAGCATGAATATTGAGACTGTATAGCGAGAAGAATGGTATCAACTAATTGAGTCCTGAGCCATACAGGAAGCGTGCACCTTGAGCACCGTGGATCGAATAATAGATTTATACTATTGTATGCTGACATGAGGGATGTGTTTAGTGTACAGAAGGGTGAAGTTAAAGTATGGTCAGGTATGCTCTCATGTCTGTATGATCAACTGAAGTTGCTGTTGGTGTAAAGTGCCCAGAGCCTAATTAGGGTGTGGGTGCGATATAAATTTACTAATTATTGTTATTATTGTATCTCCTTGTGGCTTTTGTTTTTCTCCTTCTCTCAAAACTAATGGATAAAAGTAAATTTGCACCTCATTTCCAACCCCTTGCACTTTGAATGGATTTGACCTAGTGCACATATCCAGGGTCACCATGGAGAGTGCACTGGAGATGCAGCTATTTCTTGCAGGAGCGGGACACAGAGAGGTGTGATGGTTGTGATGTACGAAGAGCTAACGATGTATCTGTCTTTTGTTCTGTGACCAGGGTACATCATGGATGACTTCCCATGCCTGTCAGAGGAACTGATGTCTATCAAAGACCAGCTGGAGCTTATCAAAAGTTGGAAACTCAAGCCAGACTTTGTCATCAACTTGAGGGTGGGTGGATTACATCACTCATTTCATTGAAAGGGGGCCCAGCTAGTTATAACATATTTCTCTATGTGATACATATATCATCACTACCGCAAAAAAAAAAATAATAACAATTAGTTCAAACTGGCTTTTCAAGGTAAGTGATTAAAAATGAGAGTTATTCAATTTTCTTGCAACGGTGACGATATAGATAATAATAATAAAAAACAATTTTTACTTTTGACACTGCACTACATTCTATTTTGAAATTTCCTTATATTTTTGCTGGCATCATTTTTAGTAATTTAGCTTGAGGTTGTAAACTTTAAACATACTTCATATCATCACTGTCACAAGAAAAATGAGAAACTTTAGTTTTTTATTACTCACCAATTAAATGAGGTGCATTTTAGCTTTCCAAATTAGTGATTGTATGTGCATAATCCATTTGACAGGACCAGCGTCTGCAGTGAAATAGTTAGGTTCTTTGTTGTTACACGCAGAAGACATGAATTCAGTTCTCAAGTGGGGGAGTTATTTTGTCGAGTAGCTGCATTTCTCATTCAGCCTGGGTTTGTCCTGACAAGCATGATCAAAGCAGCCAGCCTCTTATATAATCAAAATCGAAACAGCTGGGATGTAAAGTGTTTGTAGTCATTAAAATCATTTACAATCATTTTACAGATTCCCGACAAAGACATTGAGCGCCGGAGACTTGGTCAGAAGCTTGATCCTCAGACCCTGGATCTGTACACCCGAGACATCTACGCGCCAGACAAACCTGTGCCCCCGGTGAGTGTGTACAAGTATTGGCATTTTCTAAGAATACACCTATGTTGAAAGATTTTTCTGAATGATGTTCACTCCCCATGATTTTATAAGAGAACAAAAATGAAAGCCTTATAGAAAGTATTCTGCCGAAAAGTTCCAATTTTCAGCTACTTCAGGATGAGAATGAGCAATAGAAAAGTTGTTCTTTGACAATTAGTCATGTTTTTGGTGACACATTCTCGCACTATTATCCTGACCTTTATATTTTTCCCTTGATCTTTAGCCTTCACCAGAGAAAGAAGATGAAGATGAGGATGAAGAAGAAGAGGTAGAGGATGAGGAAGAGCCTCCAGAGGTTTGTTGCTTTTGTTTACATGTTTTATTGTTAAGTCTTTCCAAGACCGACTGTTGAAATCATTAAAACGTATTATTATGTCCTTGAACAATTGTGTTTTATTTTTAGAGGCCCAGGAATGCATTTCTAGGCTGATCTCTAGACTTTCTTATTTCCAGTTTTGTGTTAGTTTTGTAGATATTTAGTTTGGTGATCGCTCAATTTATAGACTTTCTTGCAATAAAAGATGATATCTTATTTCGAAAAAAAAGACAGTTGCTTGATGTTGGTGATTGCAGCATGTTTGTGTCAATGGTTGGGTTTGAGGTGCATGAAGAAAGTTTTTCATATGTTAAGTTTATGGGAAAGAATTTGTTTATAGTTTATAGGGTGGTGAAGTTATGAGGTGTTTGGCTCTTTTTCATGTGTAATTTTTATACCTTTAAACGTAATTAAAATAATAATAATAAATAGCTTATATATGCTGAGCATTTCCTTTTTAAAAAAATTCTTAATGCACATTACTTTCATAAATAAAGATATCACATTTTTTAAACTAAAGAACATGTGGGTACATAAAACATATTATGATATATGTACATGTCTACAGTCTACAAAATTTCTTTGAGAAAATTAGTCACTCAGTGTGCTTGGCATCTATTCTATAAGATGTTATGGTCTTTTTCATTTATTATTTTTTTGTACCTGAAATCATATTTCTATTTTTCAATAAATCATCAATATCATCCCGCCAGGACGAAGAACCAATCATTGAACTGCCTGTGGAAGTTTTGGAACGTTTGGTCAAAAGACCTGAGGATCTTCCACAACAAGTTGAGGAAAATCTGAGCAAGTACAAGACGAACATGTTGAGGATTTTGGAGGTTTGTGCCTCTTTATTTTATTGTGTCTTAATCAACACTTTGACTCGAAAAACCTGACTCATGACTGCATTAAATGTAAAGTTCTTTGTGATATCTGAAAAGAAACCAAGGGAAACGAGTATCAGATAGAAAGGTTTGTATTTTATCTTATATTGAATCATGTCCCTTTTGCCATGAGTAAACTATTTTTCATGTTTTCGAAGCAATTTTTAGAACCATCAGAAGAAATGAATTTTATCAACGAATTGGAAGTTTTTGATGTCCGAATTGGGAGATTCATGTGAACCACATCTAGAAGTATATCATAAGTAATGGTCTCTAGAATGGAAAATAATACTCACACACACACACACACACACACACACACACACACACACACATACACGCGCACACACACATGCACATACACACGCACATACACACACACAAATACACGCACGCACACACATACACGCGCACACACACACGCACATACACACACACAAATACACGCACACACGCACATACACACACACAAATACACGCACACACACACACACACACACACACACACAAACACACACAAACACATGCACTTTTTAAAAACTACAGGTGAAATTATTCTCTTCTCTCTCAGGACTACATGGCTGATCACGACCAACAGTATTTGATTGAGATGGACGGAAATCAAACTGTTCTCACTTTATTCAAGGTTAGTCCATTGTAGTACTGTCTGAACATGGAGGTCACGAAACTATGACCCGAGGGCCGGATCTGGCCCTTGAGGTCAGTTCATCTGGCCCGCCGACGTCTTAACTTGGAAGATGAGCTTGTAGCTTTCTCAGGATCTATTCATCAAAATAATTTGATTATTTCTTTAAACTCCACATCATCATCAGTGTTATCCTCACCTTGCATCAGGGTATAGGCCACGAACACTTTCCACATTTTCCTAACCTGGGCTAGTCTCTCAATATTGTTCCATGGCTTCCTATTTTTCATGTACATAATTCTCTTTGACTCTTCTCCTGATATGTTGTAGTACTGTCTAAACATATAGTAGTCAATGTATGTATATTCCTTCATCACATTTCAATGTCTGAGTACTCAAATGATTAAAAGCAGATTGTTTGGGGTTTTTTTTACTATACCTCTTTGGTTTCTGCTTGTCTGTCTTGCTTTTCCCTTGCATTAAATGATAATTGTTGTTGTGTTGATATGTATCTCTTTACTCAAACTAACAAATGATTGATAAAGAACTGGAATGGAGTAGTAATACAAAAGAGATCTTCCTAACACCGAGGGAATCTTGAAAATTATCTTTTTATTGTTGCAGCAACTAATGCAGAAGCTCCTGACATTTGTTTTGCGACCCGCGGCTGTGGTCACTCGCCTGAACGATCCTGAGGAGGAAGAAATGCCAGAGGACATGGAGACAGAAGAACTCCTGCGTAGCTTTGGTCCCAAGCAGATGGTGGCCCCGCGCTACAGGTGGAGGAGAAGTCGCTGGCTGCGCCACTGTCCCGTCGCCCTCTACGAGGGGAACATACTGCCGGGGAAACCAGAGTTTTGTGTTAGGTGAGCTCAGTGACCATTATCATCTTGAGCATCATTGTTGTCATGGACGTAGCTGGAGCTATTCTTGTGGGTGGTTGGAGGGAGCTGCTTGTAGGTCCTACTTCTTTACTTTCCCTCCATTTTTTAAAACTCTTTGAGGGGAATATACTGCCTGGGAAACCAGAGTTTTGCGTTAGGTGAGCTCAATGACCATCATCATCTTGATTATTGACGTCATCATCATCATCATCATCATCATCAGCATGCTCTACCATGGAAGCAGCAGGAGCAATTCTTGTGGGTGGTTGGAGGGAGCAGCTTGTAGGTCCTACTTCCTTACTTTCTCTCTATTTTTTTCTTTTGTCTGTCTGTCTCACTCTTTCCCAGGGCTAAGAGAATATCACCCTATCGGTGTGCTTCTTTTTTCCTCAAACTTAACTTCTTATTAATTCGTTAGAAAACTGATGGAGAGGTTGGATTAAAACTGAATGCTCTTGTCCACTCAGCTTAATCTCATCTGTTTTCTGGCTCCATCTGTACTGTTGATGGTAGGAGCTCCACATAACATCACTAGCGTCCTCCGTCTTTCGCTATTTCCTGTGGTCTTCATAGGCTACTGTCCACAGCAAGTTTTGTGTTGAAAGATGTAAGTAATCTTTATCTATTCTTTTTTGCCTTCAACTTTGTCTTGGAGAACTGATGTCATCAAATTTACAGTGCAATGATGCTGTGTAAGATGTCCACCTGTCTGAGATGGCCACTTTTCTCCTTGACGAAAAGTGGCTGTCTCAGTTTTGACTGCATGTTTATTGACTAGATACGTGGCACAGTATCTACAAACTTTTAAAGATACTTGAAAGTAAATTTATGTCTTTAATGTTATACCGGCAGTTTCCTGGACAAGCTGTACTGTCTGTCAAGTGCTGAAGCAATGGAAAAGTTTGTGAAAAACCCTCGCCCTTACTTACTGCCTGAGCAGCCACGCCCCCCTTGCAAGCTGTCTGTGATAGGTGCGCCCATGTCAGGAAAGACGACTCTGAGCAATTTGATAGCGCACAAGTACGGTGGGAAAGTAAGTGTTTTTCTTGAACTTTAAACTTTTTTAAGTGGACATGATTGTGCATGAAGTTTAACGTACCTTTCATACTAATAAAATTCTTTTCGTTCTTTGTACATATATTTTTGTAGTACCGCTGTATTTTGTATTTTGTTTGTTAATTATGGCCACTACATTCTGTGAGTGTGTTGTGCAGTATGCAGAGTAAACTACGAAAATTAATCTCTTTTTGAGATTCTGGGGCTAGATGACAGAGAGGTACACAGAACGATGACCAAAGAGAGAGACAAGTGGACGGGAAGAAAGAGAGAAGGGGGGGGAGGTGCAGAGAGAATGAGGGAGAGCTCAGCAAGAGAGACATACATGTAATTGTATTGAATATGATACGACTTAGAAAAGGATGAAGTTGTTATCTCACAAAATAGCTTCCTTTTGAATGTAAAAAAAAGTTTCTTCTTATATTTTAACACCTACTGCCCTACAGTATTGATCAATGCTTCACTTACATTCAAATTGTGCAGGTGTTTGAAATCTCTGAGCTTACCAAGGAAAGACGCGAGGAAGAGAAGAGAAAGATGGTGGAGCAGACGAGGAAAGAAACGACAGAGCAGGCTATTGTACAGGTCAAGACCAAGATCAAGGAGCAGATGGAGGCCGAAGCAGCAGCAAGGGAGGAAGGTGAGAGCAGCTTGTGTTGTGATGGACAGAAAGCCAGATGGGTTAATTTGTTTTAAAAAATTATTTGGGGGGGGGGGGGAGTTGTTTTTTTATGTGTTTTGTTGCTTCTTCTGTGTTATCTGCCTCTTATATAACCGTAAGTTGTCGCAAGGCAATAAAAGTGTACAGTTTCAACCCACTTTTTTGTTTTTTCTGTGTTGCATGTACCTTTTGAAGCGTAGTCTTCCTGAAGCCCCTTTCTGAACAGCCTTCTGTTAATCCATGTACCCGATCTGAGTGACACCTGTCTTCTGTTTTGTGTGTGTGTGTATGGGGGGGGTTGTTTTTTCTTTTTTAGATAATATTATACTAGTTTTATGCTTTTACCATGTTGTGATTAACAGATTCAGGTGTGGTTGGAGAGCACTGCTGGAAGGTGCTACCTAGCTTTTCTTTTTCCCTTTTGTTTCTGTCCGTCTATCTCATTATTTGCCTCCACTATAATGATGATGACCGCTTTTGAGTCAATGTGCTCATTTTTACTTTTACTTCTTAAAATAGAAGGGTTTATAGCTCAGTGCTTTTTGTAGAAAATTGGCCGCAGGTTGTTTAACTTAGCTGAAGCAGCAAAGGGTTAGAGAAAGAAGGACAACACTAGTGTTCATCATATTAATGGAAACTCAAAAAAAGGTAAGGAAACCCTTCTTTCTTCGTCATTTTATAAGAAATTTGTGAGACAACAGCATAATATGTGAGCAAAGGCACGAAGAGTAGAATCGTTTTGTATGAAGGGGACAACAAATCAAAATCTAGTGGCTGTTATATATGATCCTATTATTGAGGTAAGGTTCAAGTGTCTTGCTCAATGACATGCCACTTCTTATCACCAAATTCTAATTCTTAGCCTATTTATTTCCTATCATCAGAACGCTTGGCTCGTCTAGCAGAGGAGGCAGCGAGGGAACAGGAAGGTGTGTTGTATTTCTTTTCTGCTTATCAATGTATTGCTCTGTTCCAATGATTGGACAAATTAATTATTTTCTGCCTACTCTATGTTATCTTAATCTTAAGTATTGGAATTTAAATCTTTTGAACAACAGTTTGTTCTCAATTGCGATACTTTGAATTCATGTTTGTTTCTGTTTGTACCGATGATGAAAGTTCCTTTTAACAAGTAATCAAAATCTTCCTGTAATAAATGTAGGCCCAATGCATATTTATTTTTTCAGTGTGTCAGGCCTTGTCTTTCTACTATGTTATTTACTTGACACAGTATCCATGCTTCTTTGTCACAGCTTTTTTATCTTTCTTTTAGACACATTAGAAGTGGGGTTCTTTTTTTCCTTATCAAACTCTTTATTATCATCTCACGCATAGTCTCTTTTTTTGCTTTGCACTTTTTCACGCTGTATTTTGCATGTTTTTTCACTCCTTCAATATATGCAGAGCGGGAAAGACTTGAAGCCTTGAGGGCAGGTTTGTATTCTTCCGTTAGCAAAGCACATTTTACAGTATGAAGTAGAATTGCTTTGATGTGGTCACGGTGGTCCGCACAGTTGACACTAACTCTGTGTTGTTTTAGTAGAAAGATGAGGTTATTATAACCCATGTCTATTCACTGCACTGCTGGTCGTCAGATTCTTTTTTGCATGCTCACTTTTTCCATCATTTTGTTTTTACTAATGTTTTTATTGTTTTCAGTGCTGACCATGAAAAAGAGTACAGCTCATGATTTTCTTAATCTGTCCTTGTTGTCTGCTCACCAATAAATGCCTCAACTCTTGCCTGGGGTTTTTTCATAGCTTTAACACAACGCATGAAAAATGTTAGAATTTAAAGAAAAAAAGAATTTTCATCTGTGATAAGCACTTTTCTAACAATGTGTGCATTTTTGGGGGTTTTTTTTTTCTTTAGTTTAATTCACAAAGCAATGATAGAAAGCTTTGCATGTTTTGAAAATACGACACCTGGAAAATAAACTTCAAGAGTAATAATACTGCCTGTTAACAATGATTCTTCGTTTATTGTTTGTTTTCTACTTTCTTATGACGTCTGCTTGTTCTTGTTAGAACACCGCCACCACTAATAAATCCTTTGTCACCTGGCTTCCTCTTGTGAGAGGGAAAATATATTATAGTGATATACCCTTCTTATTCGGGGGGTGAAGGGGAGACAGTCTATATATTTGCCTGTAAAAGCTGGGGCGAGGGTGTTGATGTAAAAAAGGAAAATGTAAATGAAAACTGGAAAATTTGCAAGCATTTTGCTTGGAACTTTTGGTCCTTTTAACTTAAGGTGAAGATAAGGTAGCTTAAGAAATGCCTATGGAAGGGAAACAAATGTAATATGACAATATGACACATTGCCCAGTTAGCTTTGCATTATGATTTCTTTCACCTTTTAAGTACATTGTATTACATACACACTTAAGTTTGCAGAAAGAAAGAATATTCTAATGACTGAGGTTATTGCTAAGTTCCTGCTCTGTGGTGACAGTGACTGTTGTCCTGCTCAAATAAACATTCTCTCTTAGTGGCGTCAATGACCTAGTGGTAAGGCTGTTGGACTCATAACTATAACGTCTTGGGTTTGAATACTGTAAGGGGTCTGACCTTGTGTCCCTTGGAAAGGCACTTTACGCAAATTTTCCTCACTTCACTTGCATGGGAATAGGTACACAGCTATAGACAGTGAAAGATATTGTCAGTTTGTTTCTGTTTGAGCTTGTAGTTTCACAGGATACACAGAGTGTTTTCACTTATCGTTGCATAGATAACACCATAGATGGTTTTTAAAATTTTTGCCGTTTTCTCGATTTGCAAAATGCAAAATGAGATTACTACTAAATTTCACGTTTTATTTTGATTGCTTAGTGTAGGACTCCATATGTCATTTTGAAAAGCGACTTATGACAATGTCTTACACAGAGAAGTCGCTTCTTGTTGTTTCTTTAGATGTTCGGTTGTTTTCTTTACTTTGCCTCTGTTCTTTCTGTCTCTCAGTCTTTCTTTATCCTGATACTAACACTTTCAACAGATATGTTAAATCCATTAAAATAAAAGAACTTCTCAAATGAAATCTGTTTCCCACTGCATTTATGTTTTCTTGTCACTGATTTAAAAGAAATATATATAGGCCTCCTAGTTTATATTTTCACTTTGCTTCTTTGTTTAACAGGGCATGTTGATATGAAATATATGGACCAGTGTGCTAAATAGTTGCTTAGCACCAGTGTAACTGTTTGTCTCTTTGGCATTGCACACAAAGCACATGAATTTAAAAACCCAATAGGGTAGTTTTTTTTATGAAGTATATATGTCTGTTTGCTGGGATGTTGCACCCCACCCAGGCTTTATTGCTCCTTCTGCATGGTCAAAGCATGCAGGCTCCTCTATGATCTATATTGAGTAAACAGGGGCAAAAATATGTACAATCAATCATAGCTGATAGGTGTCATGTCAGCCTTCCTTTCCTCTTGTTTGATGTTTTTGTTTTTGTTTTATTTCCTGGTTCATATTTTGTACTATACCTTTTCTTTTTCTTATATTTTTTTTATGTTGTATTATTCAGCTCTGTGCCTCTGAAAAGAAAAAGAACTCTTTCTCCAGCTTGCATATATTTTATCTCATTGGTTTTGAAGGAATGAATTTGTTTAATTGTTGTTGATTTTTTTTCTTCCTCAGAGGAAGAAGAGGAAGGGGGTAAGTGTACAAGCTTTCTTTTACTTTTCCTATTTTGGAATACTATTTGTACTAATGTTACTGTTAGCTTTTTTGCCAGACAAAGGAGATAGATTTTGCTCTGTTTGTATTTGAAATTGAATCTTAAAAAGTGATTTTTAAAAAATTTTGTCTGGAAGCCTAATTTGATTGGTTGATATTAAAGGATACTTTTTTGCAGTCTTTGTACAATGTTACAGCTGGTATGTATTTTTATCTTGGGCTTTTCTTTTGGGTTCTGTGGTTTTTAGCACTCTATTTTTTTTCTGGACTACTGACTGTTATCACATCAATGTGCTAACTTAACTCAACTCAAATTGAATCCAGACCGCGTTTTTATGATATATAATATACAGTTTTCTGGGTGGTTGGCGGGTGCTCTGGTGTGGTTTGCTCCTTCTTTCCTATCAAACATCTATCGTCTTTATCTCCCCTCCTTCTTTTTTGTGTTTGTTACTCTCTTGTAAGAACTCTAATCTTCGGCACTTGTGTTGCAAGTGCCGTAAAACTCTTACGAAAACTAAACTAAGAGAGCTGCTTTATTATAATCTGTTGTATTCTTTGTCAACAGAAGATGGTGACAGTGAGACAAAGTCTCCAAAGGAGGGTGAAGAGGAAGCAAAAGAAGAGACTCCTGCTGAGGCAGAGGAGGAAAAGGCTGCAGAGGAAGGAGGAGGCGAGGAGGGAGGAGAGGAGGAGAAAGAGAAGAGCGCGGAAGACGAGGAGAAGCCTGCCACTGAGGGGGGAGAAGGAGAGGACAACTCTGTCATTGCTGCTTCAGGAACGTCGACAGAGGATCAGCCACCACCGCCGCCAGCTGAGCCTGAGGTGAGGGTCCTCATTGTAACAATTAGGTTTTGTGACAGACACAGACTACATATGCATGTGTGCCTGCAGAAAGGTCCCAGTTGTTGGCAAAGCTATTTTTTGAGCATCGTGGTGAAAAGGCCAAAAAGTCTTACCTGCTAAAAAATTTAGCTCCATCAGAAAACACATGTTTAACAATTTTTTAATGACATATTGAAAGGATTTTATAATATTTTAATTAAGTCTAAATATATTTTTATTAGTTATTTTTGCAATATGTCATACATCACGAAAGGTTAAAAATGTACTAGAAATTGTGTTTTTCTCCAAATTTTGTTTTTACACCTTCTGTTACAAAATGTGACATATCTTTAAAACTACTCAAAATAATTTTAAAACTAAAAAATCTGTGTGTTCAGCGTCCTATTTGCTACAAGAATATGCCCTTATTTCAATGTCCAAAATTTCTGACAAGTGGGACTTTTCTCCAGGCACACACACATATTGCCGGCCAGCTGTTCAGATGTGTTAAGCCCAAAATTTTTTAAAATGTTTCCTTAGAACACTTGAACAGCTTTCGAAAGATAGATATAAATAGATAACAGACATGGACTACATGTATCAGTACAACCAGATATGGGGGTGCAGGAACAGATAGCCGAGTATGTGTTGTATCACTCAGCACAATAAAGAATAAGAATAATGGTATATAGAGCATAGAGTAACCAGAGTGTACCTAATGGATCACAGTCTTTTGAAGTGTACATTTCAGCTCAAGTTTAGAATGTGTATGAGATGTCACACCAACATTGATGTCCCTCCCCCACAAAAAGACAAAAGTAAATCAGATACAGAAAAAGCCAAGTATATAACAATTACCTTTTCTTTTTCGTATTCGTGTTGTTCTGCACACAACTGTGACAAGCAGCACTCCCCACCATCATCTCTTGAGACAAGCGGATGTCAAAAGGTATATGGTTGTGAAGACAGAATATTCTCAGTTATATCTCTTGTATCATATCAGGTTGATGAAACTCATCCAGATGTGGTTGCCATGGTAAACGCGGCCGTTGCCGAGGCGGAGGCTCAGGTGATCACACTGTCAGCGGAGGTCCAGGTGGAGGTTCTGGACATGGCCATCAAGACGTGGGAGAAGGATCTCCGCAGCAAGAAACCAGAGGGACCTCTGTGAGTTTATCTTCTTCTCTGCATTCCCCTGCTACATCTCAGGGGCAGTTAACTGCTGGTTCTTCAACATTCAGTACAACTGACTTTTATGTATGTGACCATTTTTTCTATTTCTTACAGCCCCTTGCCTTCAAGTTGAAGGCAGCCACATTTCTCTGTGGGACTTATTGGATGTAGTCAGCCTCTTGCCTTTATACATCCTCGTCTGAATTTCTTCCTTTTTTCCTGCAAAGTGCAAATGTAGGTGTTTTTACGCCTTCATCAATATTGATTAGATCAAATTTAGAGGCAGGCTTCCAACCCTGCCCATCAGAGTCAACCTGGGCTGAGAGGGATTCAACATCCCAGCAGAAAGACAGAGATACTCAAGAAAAATTCTCCCTTCTCAGGAATCAAACTCGGGGTGTAGCAGTTAGGCATCATGCGACAACAAAATGCTTTACCACTACACCACGGCTGCTGATGCTCTGCGGTCACCTCACAGTAATGGTGTAGGGCAGTTGAACTGATCATGCTCTTTCCATTTTGTTGAAAAATGCTAACTGTATCTTATACAGCATTAAAGTCAAATAAAAGGTATTATGATAATAGTAATAATAATGAAGATCATTTTTATAGCGCCCACTCCCGTGTAAACACAGCTCTAGGCGCTTTACATAATTGCATGTACGAATAATATTCACACACGCACACACACGCGCACACATGTGCGCACACATGCATGCCAAACACTCACATGCACACACACACACACAATCACGCACACATGTGCACACCCATGCACCGCAAACACACACACACACACACACACACGCTAACACTACCACACACGCACGCACGCGCGTGCACACACACACACACACACACACACACACACACACACACACACACACACACATCTACTTGTTTATCACACGCGCATGCTTACACTTCATTACGAAATGAACACATACAAATACATAATAAAATAATATATATACTCAATGCAATTTGCAAAATACATAGATGGATACATAGTCATTTACATAACATTGTACCGAACATGAATCTATTGACATAAAAATCATGTCTTTAAATGTGTCTTTAAAGATATTTTTAATTTAGACTCAAATGCTGCATGTCACAAGGGTTGGGGAAGAGAGTTCCAAACTGATGGAGCAAGGTGGGCAAACAATCTTGCAGCTAATGTTTTACCTCCTTTTCTGGGAACTCTTTAAAGATACTGATCGCCTAATTTTAGTGATCCAGATGGAACATTATAACCAGATGAATGATAATTCTGTTTTGTATAGCTCTTAGATCCTTCTGGGATTAGGCACTATGTTCCTACTATTAGGCCTGCTATTACTATTATTATTGTATTATTATTATTATTTCTTTTATTATCATTATTATTATTATTGTTATTATTATTGTTTGTTTTTTTGTTTTTTAAATTACTATTTATGTTATCATTATTGTTATTATTATTATTATTATTATTATTATTATTATTACTATTGCTGTTATTGTTGTTTGTGTTATAACAAATGGCCTTGTGTTTCAGGCATGGCTGCTGGATCCTGGACAACTTCCCCAGTTCCCGGGAACAGTGGAACGCCTGTGTGGAGAAAAACCTCCTCCCTGATGACGTCATTGTCCTTGGTGACTCAAGCGGCGATAGCAAGACAGGTGTCAATTTGATTCAGGTGAGGAGGAGAATGGTTTAAATTACGACAATATTTATTGTCTTTTTTTTTAAAACGTAGGTGACCATTTAGGAGGTGGGCTTCCAACCCTTCCTGTCTGGCCCACCCTGGGCTGAGAGGGATACAACATTTCAGTAGAAAGACGAAGCTATTCTATAAAGATTTTCTTCCCACTCAAGAATCCAACTCAGGTCTCCTGCGTGTGACAGCAAAGTGCCTCACTGCTACATACAGACGCCGGTTCCATTCTGTTATTATTGTATTTCAGGTTCACATGTTAAAGAAAAGCCAGTGCTAGGGGCTTCATACATGAGTATGAAATTTACCAGAAGCTTAATTATGTCAAGCCACAAAGATGAAGTGTGGATACTACTCTTGCGGTTAGGTATTGATAATAAACGGCTTGAAGGTCGAATATTGTGAATTTTGTCAACGATATGGACCCATGGGAATGCCTGAGCATACTCTACCTTACCTTTTTGCACACACAACACACTCTGCAGTGTGTGGTGCTACAACAAGCAGTCAACCCTATGGATCTCTTTAAATAAATCACATGAAGGACAAAAAATATCTCTTATGGAGAAAAATGTATTTTTATTAAGATCATCGTCATGAAGTGCATGATCTGCGACAGACATTGTGATCATGGTTCTCCTTTCATTCCTTTGCTCGGATGTTTTTAAAAAAGTTACATTATCCTGATCTTTCCCAGTCACCTATCTGTTTATGCTCTCCAAATAGGTTTTTATAAATAAACAACATCCAAATAGGGCTTTAATGAATTGTAGTGTGCTGGTTTCCTCTTTATTTGGCAATAAGTCATATTTGTGCAGATTGTAATTGATGAACATTTCTACCTCAGGCACTGGCCGAGCGGTTCTGCAAAAACAATCGGGAGTTTCTGGTGCAGCAGATGGATAAGAGAGAACAGATACGACTTGAGAAGGAGGAGTTAGCCAGACAAGAGGAGGAGAGGAGAGTTGCGTAAGTTCTTGTTACATTCGCAAAAAAAAGAACTAAGATGTTTGGGGGGTTTTCTTTGCTTTTTTTTGTTTCCCCTGCACGTGTGCTCATGAGTTGATGTTTCACAAACACCACAAGGGAAGTAATAAATGTGAAGATCTTATCTGAGATGCAAAACATTACATTTTTTTTGGGTCATATATCAGCCTTTCCAACTCTATCTAGAGAACTGAATTCCAGGATAATATGTTTTGTTGCCTTGTCAGAACAAGGTTTGTTATGAGAATTTCAACGCCATTTGATTTACACTGCTGAACTCCAGATAATTATTTCTATAACACTCCCCCTTCCTCTCCCTCTCCCCCCTCCCCTTCTTTTCTCAAGAAAAGCCACAAAAAGACTTCCAATTTACAAACTTACTGCCAAGAGAAACTTTGAAACTAGCCATGGACAAATTGACTTCCCCCATAGTTTTTATCTAGGCCTACTTACGTATTGAGCAGACTAAGATTTTTTTTTTAACCTAAATATTTCCAGGCTTCCTGGATTATTTTGTTCCTATGAAATACAGCTCAAAATGAAAGAGGGTTTTTTTTTCTTTCTTTTTTTGTTGTAAATTTGATGGGGAAAACATTTTTTATTTTTCTGTCTGGCACTACTCACTTTTTGGACTATGCACATGGGTCATGTGTTTGAGTTTTGGTTTTCAAGCCTATTGTATTGTTGGCCGATTGCATCATACATAATCCATAGGCCTGCAGTATTTACCTCTAGTATTTATTTTCACCTTGTTTTGAAAAACTCCTATTTTGCATTTTGCAGGGAAGAACTTGCAAGGTATCTTTGCTTTAATACTTAATAACACTTGCTTATTTTACTTGTTAATTTGATAGAGTGTGAAGTATTCCATATATTATATCTTCTATTATTTGTTTTCTTCATCTTTAATTTGTTTTTTCAAAGGTTTGCTTTTGTATTCACTGTAGATACATATCATTATAACATTATTCATGTATCATGTACCATTCTTCCTCTGCAAGATGGGAAGAAAGTTTCCATGCAAAAAGGAGAAGAATTGTTTGATTATAAAAACGATTACATATATAGCGCCAGAAATGTTAGAACTTGCTTTACCGATATGGCAGAGACCTGTTGTAAAAAAATCCTTTTTTGACGATGATGACAGGGATATTCAGCTTGTTTTGAGAACAAGAACTAGACTGATTAAGTTTGGGCTATTTTGTTTTCAGGAAACATGATTTTCTATTTTTGCATGGAAAGTTTTGTTGCACCTTTTAATGGTTGGGAAAAAAATAAACATAAAGAAAATGTTGGAAACTCGAAATCCTTACTTTGTGAAACTACTTATACTTGTTTGGTAAAACTGTAGAGTCAACTTCATCTATGATTATATTTTTGTTTGTTCTTTCTTCTCTGACTCGGTTATTACACTCTGTGCTTTTCTTTTTTTCCAAGTGTGTGCAAGTTCAAAAATGTAATCAACTCCATATGAATATTCTTTTGGGAAAAATTAAAGGACATCCATTTTGGATACGGTACTACTCCTAAATATCTCATGAAATCTATTGTATAATCTAGAGATTTATAGATATCTCAGTTTAAAGATCAGCTAGTTGACCTGAAAATTAGGGGATTTTTAGTCACCACAGTTACTTTTCATCATTTGCTAAATCATTTTGCAAATACAGTTTTCTGTTTGTTTCATCTATGTTAATGCCAGTTATGGTAAATCTGTTGAAAAAAATAAACTATAGTACCGTTGCTAATCACGTCGCCTATTATTACATTTTTGTGCTTTTAATTATAGATTTAACATAAAAAGTCTGTCATAAGTATATAACATAAACGGGTATTGCAGCTGTCTTTTGGTTGTTTTTACTCCCCTGCAAAGCAAGGTCAGTCAGTTAATGTTCTTGCAACAGCAATGTTATTTATATGAAAGTCCTACTCCAAATATATATGAACTAAACAGGATTCTTTACTTATGATACAGCAGAGAAAATTATTAGCCTACCAGTACTGATATATTCACATTTACATAGTTATCGATTCTAGGTGGAATTTCTAAACTGATTTGAAATTACTCGTAATATTCAGTTTCTGTCATTATTTATTAATTGTGTGAAAACGATTTGTCAGAGGTGTTGAGAATTTTTAGATGGAAAATATTCACTATGAAGGGAGTTTTCAGCAAAATTTCAGATTATCATTTTTTTAAAGGAAGAAGTTGCCCCTTTCAAAACTGACAGATTCATATTTTCCTGCAGGCAAGAAGAACTTCGCAGACAAGAGGAGGAGGAACAAGAAAGGAAAGAAAGTAAGGTTTCATTTTATATGTAAGGTGACTAGTAATCAAATGCTCATTCTGTGGCTGTTGGTACTACACCTTGATCACATATTGCCGCATGTTTCCACACTTCTTTTCTGTTATGTTTACCTACGCAGCAACTTATAAAAATAGTTAAATTGGGACTGATTAAAGGAGAGAGTACCTAACGCTTTTCTCAGGTCATACATATCTCAGTGTACATTAAATATATTACTCTTGAACCCTGAGGCCCTGCCAACCCTTGACAGGCAGGGTCCGAAGCCAGCCTCTAAATGTGTCACGACGTGGTGGAATCCGGCGCTCGTCAATTTTTGGGCTTGGGGAGTTATTAGTGTTATCTTAAAACTTGTTCAATTGTCTTGCTATCAGTGGAAAAATGCCCCTCTTTCTTGAATAGAAGTCAAGATGTTTGAGTTTTCTAGCTTGATAGTCCGTGGAAACTGAAAACTTACATTTTTTGTGCCTTATATCAACATTTTTCAGTAAAATTTACACAGAAATGTGTTCTTAATTGGACAACAATAGTGTTAAAACAAAAATTCGATGAAAATTACCAAACTGGCAAAAAAAATGCCAGTTTCTTCAATTTCATTA